GCCTCAGGTGCAGTGACTTGTCAGTACCAGCTTCAAACCGTCCCCCGTCGCGGCACCGTGTGCGACCGTCCCGGTCCCACCGCCGCCCGCTGCTACCGCCGCCTCAACGACCTCTTCCATCTCTGTTTCGGGCCCACGCCGGACCTCTCAGACGGGCACAGCCTGGTAAGTCGTCGTGTGCCGATCAAGGAGATGGATATGGATCAGATTAGGCTTGCTTTGTATGCCATGTATGCTGATGACTCTAGTAAGAATGGACCTTATTACCCTGTGTTGCCTAGTGTATGTGTGTCCACCATGTGTAGTTTAGGCTCACCTGCTGCGTCAGGTGTAGGACCTCGTGCCTTGTATAGCCTTGCCTCCACCCTAGTCATTCCGCCGACTGATGCTACCGCTGCACTCTCCTTCACGCTGGACTCTGGTGCATCCGCTTGCTTCTTTTGCGACCACACTGCTCTCACGCCGCTTGCCGCCCCTGCAGCTGTCGGGCTTGTTGACCCCTCCTCAAGTCCAGCAGTTGCACATAGCTCCACCACCCTCCCCTATTTGGCGGTTCCCTCGGGCTCCCTTACAGGCTTGCACATTCCCTTGCTCTCAAGGAACCTAGTTGGTGTCCGCTGTCTTCAAAACCTTGACGTCACCACTACGTTCCTTGGACATGAATGGTATGCGGTCTGTATCGAGGTCGCCACTGGTGCCCCCCTTGCCACATTCCCTTGGGACCCGGTGTTTGGTCGTTCACGGTGGACACCATATCCCCCCCGTTGCGAGAGTCCTCTCAGGTTGCAGGGCCTACTCAGGTCGCTGCAGCTTGCTCGTGTCGGTCGCTCACTCACCCGTCGCTTTTGTGGCACTACCGTCTAGGTCACCCTACACTCCTGGTCAGCGTCACATGTCACAGCATGGTCTTGTCTTAGGTCTCCCTACGTCGCTCCTTGCCCTCCCTTCCTCACCCGCGCCTCCGTGCATGCCTTGTGTCAAGGGCCGAATGCGCCGTGCTCCTCACTCCTCCTCGCTTCCCCCCACCACTGCGCCACTTCAGACCCTGCACCTGGACGTTAGGGGCCTAGCCCCCGTCCCTAGGCCACGTCGCGAGCGCTACTTTCTGGTGCTCATAGACGACTACACTCGCTACACCACATTGTTTCCTCTAGAGCAAAAGTTCAATGTGCCTGACGCTCATATCACATGGCTTCTCGCTGCGCGTGTCCATCGCGCCCTCCTCCATCTCCACTCTGACCGTGGCGGTTAGTTTGCCTCCGGTCGGCTTGGCCAGTTCTGTCGTGCGGAGGGCATTACCGAGTAGTTCACCCTTCTGGACTCCCCGCAGAAGAATGTGGTCGCTGAGTGACGCATCGGTTCGGTCATAGAGGTGGCTCATACCTCCACGATCCATGCCGGTGCACTCCACTTTCTGTGGCTGTTCGCTGTTCGCTACGCCGCTCTCCAGATTAACCAGTGGCCACACTCCCAGTGGCCGCACAGTTTGCCGACTGTTCTCTGGACCGTGCTCCGTGGTGACACGTCTGCGTTCAACGTCTAGGGCTACCTCGCTCATGTTCGTGCCTCTGGCACAGACAAGCTCACTACCCGCACCGTCCCTTGTGTCTTCATTGGCTTCCCCCTCGACGCGTGTGACTGGCACTTTTACCACCTGCTGTCTCACCGCTTCTTTCATTTGCGTGACGTCACCTTTGACGAGTTTGTCTCCTGTTAAACCCGCTTTCTCCACCGAGGTCTCCCGGTTACCCCGCCCCTGTTCCTTGTCCCCACTCCCCCGTTAGCTCCTGGTTCACTCCCTCCCCATCCTTCCCTGTCTGGTGTGTCTCATGTCACTCCCCTTACCTCGGTTGCCTCGTCGGAGGAGTCGGCTGACTCTGGGGGCGAAGGGTCCCTTGCGTGTCTCCGTCCCGGTGTCTCCTCCACCGCCGCCACAGCAGCAGCTGCCATCGCAGTCGCAGCAGCAGCAGCCACCGCCAAAGCAGCAGCTACCATCGCCGCCACCGCAACCGCAGGGGTCCGCGAGCTCAAGGGAGGGTGGGCTCAGAGGAGGGTGCTGGTCCTGGGGGTGCTAGTTTTGGAGGTACTGTCGTGGTTTGTCCCAACGGTCTTAGGGGTGGCACCGGTGCTGGAGAGGGTTCTTGTTCTGGAAGTGCTGTCATGGAGGGTCTTGGGGGTAGCAGTGGTGCAGCTAGAGGCTCTGGTGTTGGCATGGAGCAACAGCAGTAGTCGCTATCGGTGTCCGCTCTTCGCCTCCTCGGTCTTCACTTCCCCAACCGCCTGCCCACGCCTCCCCGGGCGCCGCCTCCTCCGCCTGTCTAAGGCCCTGTGTTTCCTCCGCCGAAATCGTCCCCGGCGCGTTTCCCCCCTTGTTCTCCTCCTCTGTCTCCTCCAGTGTCTCCTGACCCGACGCATCCCTCCCACTTCTGGTCTCGAAGTCCCTCTCGTGCATCCTGTCTCCCCAGTTCCACGTTCCCACCCTATGTAGCTCCGTTCTCACGTGTCTCGTGCTCCTCTCCTCCCATCGCCTTCTCAGTTGTTGCTTGTCGTCTCTCCGCCTCCAATCTCTGACTATCTCTGTGCTGCTATTCCCCTTGATCCACGGGTCCTCACCTCTCTTGTTACCGACCCGTCCGTTTCTGTCTCCGGTCTCTCGGTTCTTGTTGCTGCCATCGCTGAATTTGCCTCTACCCACCGCCTTGACTACGCCACCACTCTGGTCTCTGACCCTACCCGTCCTCTGTCCGTCACGGGTGCACTTGCCCTTGGACGTCCTAGAGGACAGGCAGTACGAGCTTGCTTTCCTGTGTGAGGCTGCTCCCCATCTCTGCTCCATGCTGCTAGCCCCTGAGGGTGACCCTGACACTCTTGACATCTCGACCCCTCGCACCTATGCTGAGGCGACCTCGGGACCTTGGGCCACTTTGTGGATAGTTGCCATGGACGCGGAGATGACATCTTGGAGATCCACCAGCACCTTCATCGATGCAATTCCCCCACCTGGAGTGAAGTTGTCGATGGCGGTGGCTCTTCAAGGTGAAGTGCCATCCTGGAGAGCTGCTGGTGTTCAAGTTGCGCTACGTTGCTTGAGGCTTCAGTCATTGCGAGGGTGTTGACTTCATTCACACCTTCGTCCCAACCCCGAAAACGACCACTCTTCCGGCGCTGCTTTATGTTGCAGCACAACGCGATTACGAGATGAACTCCCTCGACTTCTCCACAACGTTTCTCAATGGCCCTCTGCACGAGCAGGTCTACCTGCGCCGTCCGCCAGGCTTCTCTGGCACCTTCGCTCCTGGGACCGAGTGGCTCCTGCGGCGCCTGGTCTACGGTCTGCGACAGGTGCCCCGTGAGTGGCACGACACGTTGCGCACTACGTTAGCAGACCTGCAGTTCTTCCTGTCCTCTGCTGATCAGTCGCTCTTCGTTCGTTCAGGCCAGACTCCGTTCTACATCCTAGTCTACATAGACGACTTGGTCTTCGTTACTGCAGACAGAGACGCACTGGCCTCAATGGCCAAGCTGCAACAGAGACACACCTGCACTGACCTAGGAGAGTTGCGCTGCTACCTTGGTCTGCATATCTCCAGGGACAGAGCAACGTGCACCATCACTCTCACACAGTCACACTTGGTGCACCAGGTCCTTCAGAGGTTCAGCCTTCACTTCTCTTTGGCACAGCCTACATCTTTGCCAGTAGATCACAAGCTCTCGGCTCCAGTCCCTGACGAGTCAGCTGAGCCCAGTGGTCCGTACGCAAAGCTGGTAGGCTGCCTCATGTACCTGATGATTTGCACTCGTCCAGATCTTGCATAACCACTCAGCATTTTGGCTCGCTTTGAGGCGACTGGCAGACACCGACCCCATCACTGGTCGACCGCTAAGAGGGTTTTGCATTATCTAGCAAGTACATCGGGCATGGGATTAGTGCCAGTGGTCTCACTAGGCACATAGACGCTTCATGGGCGGACGACGCTGAGACGCTCAGATCCTCCCAGGGCGACTAATTTAGCCTAGGTGCAGGCGCTATCTCATGGAGGTCCACCTGCTCGTCATCTGTTGCACAGTCTAGCTGTGAGTCTGAGATCTACGCTGGTGCCATGGCGGCACAGGAGCTTCGGTGGCTGACATTCTTGCTCACAGACTTAGGTGAGCGGCCGAGCTTCCCGTTGCGATACTTTCTCCTCTTGTCACAACCTAACTGCGGGCTACTGTCCTTGACGGGTGCATCGGCGAAAGAGTATCGGTTTGTCGCAAAAGCAAGATGTGACTATTTAGGTGACTCATGTGACGAGTGGGTTGAGTCCCATTTGACTCAACCCATGATCGGGGGTCGGTTGCTACTGGTACCACATTGGTGGGGGACTATTCGCGCGAATTCTGAATGGTGGGGTTGTCGGCTACCTGGCAAACACAGCCAGTTTTTTCTTAGGCCCCAAGCCAAAAAAAAACCAGCCTTGGGTTTTCTCGCAGAACCCTCGGGCCTGACACTAATTATATAGCCTCATGCCTTCATTTCAAGGAGGAATCCATTATTCCTCAACACTGATACACATAGCGAATATGTGTGGAGTTATAACACTGTAAGTGTAAGTGTTAGAATATACCATGCTATGCTAGTTGTGTATATTGTGTTTACATCCCTAGTTGGGTGTACACCTGTGTTGGGGTGTCAATCCAACCCAATTGTGGTTGGAGCCCCCAAACACAAGGACCACAATTGTGGGGGCACCACAAGTGGGTTGGCTAAACCACTGGTGGTACACCACACTTGGACCACCTCCAACTGGTGGTCAACCACATTTGGAAGGATCCTCCCTCCCTTGTGATTGGTCCTAACCCCCCTTTCCCTTCCAACCTTCCCTTCCTAGCTCATCTCTCTCTTCCTATGTAATGCCTTTGCTTCATCAATAAACTGAACCTTTCTGTTTATAACATGGTATAGAGCAATAATGGCTCACGCCAACTTTTAAATCCCGATCCTTCCCCACGCTTCCGCCCCGTCCCCTTCCGACGTGCACCTCATTGCCGTCCCCTCCATCGCCGCTGCTAGACTCCTAGCCGCCGCCTCTCAACTAGTTTTCTGTTGGGTGGATTTTCAAAAACCCCCAATGCGCCAAACGCCATAGCTCGCTCGATAGTTGACAGAATTGAGTGATTCGACTTGCAAAAGAACGCTCTTGGTGTCAGCTACAACGTCGTAAAATTTCGGACTGTTTCATCGCTTGGATTGTCAGATATCGCTTTCCGAAGTTTGCACACTTTCCTGGATGTGATCACGAAGTGCTACTGAAATTTCTACCAAGTCCTATTTTCATCAGCTAACTGCCATCTTTCCCCATCTTTTGCCTCCTCACCTGCACCTGCTCATCGCCGCCTTACCACTGCTGCAGCCATAGCAGCAGCAGCAGAAGCAGCAGCAGCACCAGAAGGAGCAGCAGACTCAGCAGCAGCAGCACCAGCAGCAGTAGCAGCAGCAGCAGCAGCAGCTGAAGGAGCAGCAGCAGCAGCAGCAGCAACAGCGGCAGCAGCAGCAGTGGCAGCAGCAGCAGCGTCAGCAGCAGCAGCAGCAACAGCAGCAGCAGCAGCAGCAGAAGGAGCAGCAGCAGCAGCAGCAGCAGCAGCAGCAGAAGGAGCAGCAGCAGCAGCAGCAGCAGCAGCAGCAGCAGCAGCAGCAGTATCTACAGCCATCCCCATCCTCCCCTCCTCTTTGAGCCGCCGCGGGTCCACCCGCCGCCGCTCCCTCCCGGCCACCGCGGGTCCACCCGCCATCGCCTTCCTCCCACTCCGTGTCACCAATGGCATCCTTTCCCCCTCCCGTCGACGTCTCGACCCTCGATCATCTCGTGCGCGCTGCCGACAACTCAGCAACCAACTGGTATTCCTTCGTCGGCAGCCTCCACCGCGTCCTCGGCAGTGCTTATGTCCTGCCGTTCCGCCTCCTGGACATCATGCTTGGTCTCCCAGAGGGTGACCTTGGGGACCCGCCGCCTCACCCTGGCGATCCCCCCCTCTCATTCCCCATCCCGGCGAGGAACCTCCGCCCCCCATGGTACCCGTTGGCACCAGCACTCGCGCTGCCACCGCTGAAGTTGAGCAGCTCTTCCTTACTCAGCGTCGGGAGTTCCTCGTGCTCCATACTGATTACCTGATCGCGTTGGAGGAACACGAGCGGTCGGCAACCCTCCGCACCCAGCATGCCGCTACCGCCGCCGCTTATGCCGCTGACTCTGCGCGATTTGCTGAGCGTCGTCGCGCCTGGCTCGAGGCGGACAGCCGTGCTACTGGTGCCCTTCTCCTTGCCATCCCGTCTGCGCTCATGCGCAACTTCCAGGCACGTCGCATCGGCTCCCGCCAGATCTGGCTCGAGCTTGAGGCAATGTTCGAACGCACCGACTTCGATGCTGTCGGACCGCTCTTCAAGGAATACTTCAGCATCACGATCGAACACAGTGCTGGCGCCGTTGACTACACCAGCCGTCTCCTGGACCTTGCCTCCCGCCTTGAGGCTCGCCAGACTACTCTCCCCCCCAACCTTCAGATCTACCGTCTCCTCGAAGGCCTCTCCCCTCAATATGAAGTGCGCGTCATCGCCTTCACTGAGGCTCAGCCCCGCGCCTCCCTTGACACTGTGGTCCAATGGATCATTGACGCTGAGGCCCGCCTTCTCTCAACCCCCCCCTCCGGCCTGAACTCCACCGCGTCCCAAAACCCCCAGCTTGCAGTCACACAGCCGCGTCGTGGCGGGCGCCCACGTGGCGGCCGCACCAACCCTCAGGGAGGGGGTGGAGGTGGCGGTTGTGGGGGCAGCGGAGCCGGCGGCGGTGGTGGCGGGGTCGAGGGTGGCAGCAGTGGTGGTGGTGGAGGCAGTGGTGGCTCATCTGGTAGCCGTGGTGGCCGCCCTGGCACTCTCCCCCCATGTTCCTATCTTCGCCGTTTTGGTCCCAGGGCGGGTGAGCGCTGCACCCAAACCAACCATCCCCCCGCGACCTGCTTCAAGGCGTATGATGACGCCTGGTTCGAGCGCGGCAACACTGGCACACCCCCACGCTGGTCTGCCATGGATCCCCGCCCCTCTCTCCAGGATGTCAAAACTCTTCCGTCTTTTCTCCCCTCTCATCTTCAGCTCTCCTCCTCCTCCTCCTCCTCTGTCGCTGACCCCATAACTCCCCAGGAGCTGCAGCAGTTTCGCCGCTTCCAGCAGCTGCAGCTGCTGCAGCAGCAGCAGCAGTGGGGCTCTGGTGGTCAGGCTGCAGCCGCAGCTGCAGGAGCCGCAGCCGCAGCATCTGCATGGCAGCAGCAGCAGCTTGGCTTTGGCACCGCCGCCATGGCTGCCACAGCCACACCAGGTCCTCCTGGCTTTCCCCTCTGGGGCTCTCCTTCCCCTAGTGCTCCCGCCTCCCACTCCAGCTTTCTAGGCGAGCTCATGCGTTCTTCCCCTGCTTCCACTTCCATGTATCCCTCTGTTTTTAATGCCAGTGATTTCCAGTACCCCGTGTCTTCAGCTCCCTCCTCGCTCACGATTGACTTTGTTCTCGATAGTGGTGCCACTGAAACTGCCCTCAAAGACGCCGGCACCCTCACCTCCCTCCCTTTCCCCACCAACGTTCATGGTGCTGATTCCAGCTTCTCCATCCCTTGCACTCATCTCTCCACCCTCCCCTGCCCCCCCTTCCCCTCTGGAGTGGTCACTGGTCTCCACATTCCCTCCCTTCGTCATAACCTGCTCTCCATTCGTGAACTCCAACAGGCTGGCATCACTACCCTCTTCCCCGCCTCTGCCACCTACTGTGACCTCCTCCACGGCCCCACTCGCCGCCTCCTTCATCGCCTCCCACTTTGCCCTCGCTCTCGTCAGTACATCCTCCGCACACCCCGCCCCTCCTCATGCCACGTGACCACTCGTGCAGGCACCTCCACTCTCCCCCCTCCCCTCCCTCTAGAGCCACCTTCCTCCAACTCCACCTCCTCCCCATGCTCTTGTCGCGCACTGTCCCACCCCGCTGTTCTCATCCACCACCGCCTTGGTCATATGAACTTTCCCACACTTCGTAAAGCCGTCTCCTCCCGCTTGCTTGACGGTCTTCCCCCCACTCTTCCTCCCCTCCCGTCCTCTTCCGCTCCCCCATGCGCCACATGCATTCATGGAAAGCTCAAACAACAGCCTCACCTCAGTCATCCTTCCTTTGCTGCTGCCCCCCTTGACCTCGTCCACATGGACCTCTGGGGCCCTAACCCTTCCCCTTCCCGCCAAGGGCACCGGTACATGCTTGTCCTAGTCGACGACCACAGCAGGTACTCCTCGGTGTTCCTCCTCCATACGAAGGCCGAGGCCCCTGCTGTCATCGTTACCTGGGCCGAGCAGTGTCGAGTCCACTTTGGTCGCCCCATCCGCCGCCTCCATTCCGACGGCGGTGGTGAGTTTCTCAACCGCACCCTCTCCTCCTACTGCTCAACCCATGGCATCCAGCAGACTCATACCCTTCCCCACTCCCCTCAGCAGAACGGTGTTGCTGAGAGTCGCATTCGTGAGATCACCAAGACGGCCCGCTGCCTCCTCACTCATGCCTCCACGCCCCCTTCTCTTTGGGGCTATGCCCTTGTCCATGCTGCTCTCCTTACTAATCTTTACCCACATCCTCAACGCCAGTCTGTCACTCCCACTGAGCTCTGGGCTAGCACCAAGCCAGATGCTGCCATTCTCCGTATCTGGGGTTGCAAGGCATATGTCCTCATCCCCCCACCTGACCGCTCTCGGCAGGCAGGAAAGCTCGCCTCCAAGGCCATTGAGTGTGTCTACCTTGGCCACGCTCGCTCTGCCCCTGGTTACCTCTTCCTTCACCCGTCCTCAGGCCGCCTCCTACAGAGCCGTGACGTGGTGTTCGATGAGAGCATCCCGTTCTATCATTCTGTTCCGCCTTCCGACCCCCTTCCTCCTCTCTCCCGCCCCCTCACCTGGACTGATGCTGTCATTCCCCCACTCCTTCCCCAGGCTCCCCTCCTTCCTCCAAATCCTGCTCCTCCCCCTCCTCCTTCCTCAGGTGACATTTACGACCCAGCTGTCCCTGACTCCCCTGCTCACTCTGCCTCATCACACCAGCACCAGCAGCAGCAGCAGCAGCAGCAGCAGCAGCAGCAGCAGCAGCAGCAGCAGCAGCAGCAGAAGGAGCAGCAGCAGCAGCAGCAGCAACAGCAGCAGCAGCAGGTGCAGCAGCAGCAGCGGATGGAGCAGCAGCAGCAGCAGCAGCAGCAGCAGCAGCAGCAGCAGCAGCAGCAGCAGCAGCAGCAGCAGCAGCAGCAGCAGCGGATGGAGCAGCAGGAGGTGCAGCAGCGGATGGAGCAGCAGCAGCAGCAGCAGCAGCAACCGCAGGCAGTGCAGCAACAGCAGCCGCAGCAGGAGGTGCAGCAGCAGCACCAGCAGCAGCCACAGCAGCAGCAGCAGCAGCAGCATCAGCCACTGCAGCAACCTCATCGGCATCGCCGCACCACCTCTCCGTTCATCCTCCCACGCATCCACACTCGCTCTCACGGCCCACTCATAGGCCATCCATGGGGTTGGCCAACACCACCCCCACCCTCCCTTCCCTTCATTGAGGACTCCCATGAGGAGCTCATTGGCGTTCAGCAACAAACACCTTCCCTCACGCCTCTCTACCCGGGCTTCCTTGGCCTCCTCATCCTTGGCATCGCTACCGCTCCCACCAGATTCACTCCGTCCAACTTCCTTGAGGCCATCACCTGCCCCGATGCTGCCAAGTGGATCCAGGCTATCTTTGCTGAATGCGAGGCCTTCATCCGCAATGCCTCATTCGTTAACATTGTCCCCTCTCCTGACGACGTCATTGTTGAAGGCCTGTGGGTGTTCCGAGTGAAGCAGCTGCCGGGTGAGGAGCCGGTCTACAAGGCCCGGTATTGTGCCAAGGGCTTCACCCAAACCCATGGCATCGACTACTGGGAGACATTCTCTCCCACTGCCAAGCTCCCAACTCTCCGTGCCATCCTCGACTATGCTGTTCGCATTGGCATGGAGATTGCCTCCATGGATGTCTCCAACGCCTTCCTGCAAGGCGAGCTCCAGGAGCGGGTCCTCTTGCGGCGGCCTCCAGGCTTTCATGCAGCCTTCCCTCCCAACACAGTCTGGGAGCTGCGCCGCCCGGTTTATGGCCTCAAGCAGGCTCCTCGCGAGTGGCACAACAAGCTGGCCGCCACTCTGCAGTCCTTGGGGTTCCATGCCTCTCAGTCTGATGCCAGCCTTTTCCTTCGCTCCTCTCCCACCCGCTTCTTCATCCTGGTGTATGTCGACGACATGATCCTGTTCGCCGACGATGCTGCCGCCATGCAGCAAGTGAAGGACGCCCTGCATGCGCGCCTCAAGTGCAAGGACCTGGGTGAGCTCAAGCACTATCTGGGCATGACCATCACCCGGGACCGCACATCGCGCACCATTACCCTCTCTCAGTCCTTCTACATCGACCAAGTCTTGCAGCGGTTCGACATGGCGCAGGCAAAGCCGGTTACCACTCCCCTGCAGACCGACCACCAGCTTGCCCCTCCTCCTGCTCCCTCCTCCTCTGACCATCCTTACGCTGAGCTCGTCGGCTCGCTGATGTACGCTATGATGTGCACCCGCCCCGACCTTGCCTACCCCATCAGTGTTCTTGCTCGATTCGTCGGTACCGGTCGCCACACTGATGAGCACTGGGCTGCAGCGAAGCGGGTTCTCCGCTACCTCCGTGGTACCAAGGACTATGTCCTCACCCTCGGAGGCTCTTCTCCTCCCCTCCTCTCTGGCTTCAGTGACTCCTCCTGGGCTGACTCCCAGCCGGATCGCCGTTCCTCTCAAGGCTACGGCTTCACCCTTGGCAGCGGCCTCATCAGCTGGCGCTCCACTCGCTCCTCCTCCATCGCCCTCTCATCCTGCGAGGCTGAGCTCTATGCTTGCACCATGGCCGCTCAGGAGGCTCGCTGGCTCACCTTCCTCCTTGCTGAGATCGGTGCTCCTCAGCGCTGTCCCACCCTCTGGTGCGACAACGCCAGCACCATCCATCTCACAAAGGACCCTGTCTTCCATGGCCGCTCCAAGCACATTGAACTCCGCTACTTCTTCGTTCGAGAGTTGGTCCAGCAAGGTCACTTGGTGGTCCGCAAGATCGCTGCAGAGGCCAACTTGGCCGACATCTTCACCAAGGCCCTCCCGAAGACCGCGCACTCTGCCCTCCTCCGCCTTCTCGGCCTTGGGCCCCGCCCCCCTTCCTGATTCTGGGGTTGTACCCTACATATACACTAGCTTTGCATGCTATGGGGTTGTGTTAGAATATACCATGCTATGCTAGTTGTGTATATTGTGTTTACATCCCTAGTTGGGTGTACACCTGTGTTGGGGTGTCAATCCAACCCAATTGTGGTTGGAGCCCCCAAACACAAGGACCACAATTGTGGGGGCACCACAAGTGGGTTGGCTAAACCACTGGTGGTACACCACACTTGGACCACCTCCAACTGGTGGTCAACCACATTTGGAAGGATCCTCCCTCCCTTGTGATTGGTCCTAACCCCCCTTTCCCTTCCAACCTTCCCTTCCTAGCTCATCTCTCTCTTCCTATGTAATGCCTTTGCTTCATCAATAAACTGAACCTTTCTGTTTATAACAGTAAGGAATTAGGAATTCCTTACCGAGGCTTGCTACAGAGCGTACGACTCGAACAGTCCCAAAACAGCGATAGGGTTCCAGACCTTTCAGTTCGAGCCTCCTGGGCCTTTCCAGACCTCGCTTCGACACATCGAGGCCTTTCGACACTTTTCCCGAACCTTCCGATCCTACGTCCAGGATCGCCCTAGGTTTCCTATATATTGATTGTCTTTGTTTTTATTGATTCACTCGTTCACAGTTTCGCCATTGCCCTCCGCGCTACTCGGCAGTTCCTTTCATAACACTTGGTATTCAGAGCCACTTTTCTCACCCGCTGGGCTTCCGAGGGCATAATTTTTTTTGGAGGGGGAGAAGGCGGATGGCGCTACAGAAGGCACAGCAGTGGTCCTGACGCATGACATGATATGCTTCAATTACTGCGTTTGCGTGGGCTTCTGAAGACCGTCGATCCGACCCCGAGGGACGAGCAGGATTTGCTAACCCCTCCCCTCGAGGGCGGTTGTGTCTGTCCTGATATGGCAAAGTTTTTGCATAGTGTTTCCGGTATGCTGTTCATTTCACACATTGTTAAAGGCGTTTCAGTTGCATTTTTCAGAATTTTCGGCAAGCAGCAACTACGATTCGGATTTGGTGTCCGAATGGAGCGAGGAGCTCGTTACGAGACGGCAAGCTCGCGGGTATCCCCAGGTGAAGAGGATTTTGTTAGGCGCACGTGTAGCACAAGTGGCTGCATGGTGAAGTATAGCTGACGTCACCAGGCTCGGCGTTTCTGGCAGGCGACACGCAGGTGATTACAGGACTTCGGATACAGTTCAGCAATATGGCGTTGGAGTTTTCGACACGACCAAGGATCGCATGGCAGCACACGTGGGGCTCAGGCACGGAGGAGTTCCGAGGAGTACTGACCTTGGAGTTGTTTCGCGTGACCTGCCCGCCTGGAGTTGTAATTCGTCTGCCCTAGAATTCCGAGCTCGGCGAGTCTGGATTCTTGTAGCGGAAGCTATTTTTGTGGTCAGAAATTACACTCCACGATCTACGGAGGACGACCAGCAACTACCCTCGGGTCGAGTTTAAGTGTCATAACCGGGTCAACCGCTAAAAGTCAATGACGAAGAGCTGAAGCAGAGATGGAGAACAACTGGGAACAGCCGGGAAATTTTTTTATGGAGTCAGCGGCAGACGGATCCCCCGACTGACTTGGCTGGGTCGCCCAATTTTCAGCACCACCACCAGGTACCAGTTCGGGTTTAAGACTACTCTGACAGTTCTGGCTGAATAAGGGTGGTGAGTCAGCAGATCACCCTGTGCTCATGGATCAAGGAAGAAATATTTTCGGCGCTACATGACAGGCGAACAATTTGTGAAAATCGGATGCTGTATAGTGGGAGGCGCGTGAAGCAGGTTAATGAAAATAGCGAAGGAATTTTGCGACAACGATCGGACAGTACGCGGAGCTCGAGTCTGATACGATTACCGAGGATTTGTCGCTGAGATCGACGGAGTTGCGAGCTATTCAAAAGAACGTGTGCGGTACTGCTGGGAGAACGACGTAGGCGCTGGGTGAACAGCGGCCTCCGGGGGTTTTATTGTGGAAGCGGCAGTTGAAAAAAATTGCAGCAATTTGGAGCAGATGTTTGCAGAAACGGTTTTTTCAGGGAGGGGAAGGAGAATCCCTCACTTAAGCTGCAAAGCGCTTGCCCGCGAATTAGACTCATTAATTCGCCCTACTACTATAGCGTTGGCACTTACCTAAGTACAGGCATACGGCGGATTCACCCATGCTCTGGAGTGTATTCATCAAATGGAACTTCGGGACGACAAGGGTTACTGTTGCAGTGGGAAAAGCGTGTTGCCGTCACGGAAAATTTGGAGTCACGCGGGAGTCTTCAAGGATTATTCCTGAGTTGCAGGGCTATCATCGAAGATTCGACTGCGAGGACTCATTCGTGGATTTACCTGGACGGGCGCAATGAGGAGTGAACGTCGGCACGTCGCTAAAATGTCGGGTATTTTATGGGTGGGAATTCTTCAAGTTTTTGGCTGGAGCGGTAGCTGGGGTCACGGGTACCTTCCGAGCAGTGCGATGGTTTAAATACCAGCATGGTTAGCCAGTGAAATTGCAGAAAATGCGTTTTTCGTAGCTGAAAACTGTACCCGTGTTTTTCTAGGGTACCTGCCGTAGCCGCGCGAGGGTGAACGTCTGCACGGCGAACCGGTCAGGTGGAGTTGTGAAGATTTCTACGGAGGGTAACAACACGAAGCAGATCGACGGCAGTCGAGAAGATAAATATTTGTCTACGGCATCGGACAGATTCAGAGTCTACGTGGTGCAGCTGCCCTGCGTTATAGGGTCGCGCTAAGACTGGTCCCGACGAGCAGAGGTTGAAGATATTAAAAAAAAATTGGGTCTGAAGAAACTTGAAGCAGGGTATTTGCGGTATCGACAAAAAAAGTTTTCTTTTCATGGAGGGGGGAGAGAGCAGCTGCGCAGCAGTTGTTTTTTTTACTTTCCCTCGACAATTGGCATTCGCTTCATGACTAAATCGACGGACAGATTTGAGTTGACCTTTCAGGAAATTCGCAGGTGTTTGCGAAACTTGGAGGCGTGTTTACATTAACCGCCTGTAGCGACATCGACTACGGTTACTGGACTAATGGAGCTTTCGTCTCAAAGCTTTCAGTTCGAGCCTCCCGGGCCTTTCCAGACCTCGCTTCGATACAACGAGGCACTTCGACACTTTTCCCGAACCTTCCGATCCTATGTCCAGCCAAGCAAGAATCAAGAGCACGAAATATGAAGGTAGTAAAAACCTTGAGAGTGCATAACCTTTCTTTGGTAGAGTAGTAGTTGAAGATGTCTCTGAAGGCTTGTTGAGAGTAGTAGTAGCGTCGAAGAATTTGTCAGGAGCGATTTGCAGAGTTTCCTCGTGTTCTTGACTAATATCTTCCTTGATATTAACGGCAGGTGTGTCGGCAAGGATGTCGTCGGTGCTGCTACTTAGAGTTTCTTCTTCGCTGCTGCTGAGTTCAATCGGTTGAACGTGTTAGAATATACCATGCTATGCTAGTTGTGTATATTGTGTTTACATCCCTAGTTGGGTGTACACCTGTGTTGGGGTGTCAATCCAACCCAATTGTGGTTGGAGCCCCCAAACACAAGGACCACAATTGTGGGGGCACCACAAGTGGGTTGGCTAAACCACTGGTAGTACACCACACTTGGACCACCTCCAACTGGTGGTCAACCACATTTGGAAGGAGCCTCCCTCCCTTGTGATTGGTCCTAACCCCCCCTTCCCTTCCAACCTTCCCTTCCTAGCTCATCTCTCTCTTCCTATGTAATGCCTTTCCTTCATCAATAAACTGAACCTTTCTGTTTCTAACATGGTATAGAGCAATAATGGCTCACGCCAACTTTTAAATCCCGATCCTTCCCCACGCTTCCGCCCCGTCCCCTTCCGACGTGCACCTCATTGCCGTCCCCTCCATCGCCGCTGCTAGACTCCTAGCCGCCGCCTCTCAACTAGTTTTCTGTTGGGTGGATTTTCAAAAACCCCCAATGCGCCAAACGCCATAGCTCGCTCGATAGTTGACAGAATTGAGTGATTCGACTTGCAAAAGAACGCTCTTGGTGTCAGCTACAACGTCGGAAAATTTCGGACTGTTTCATCGCTTGGATTGTCAGATATCGCTTTCCGAAGTCTGCACACTTTCCTGGATGTGATCACGAAGTGCTACTGAAATTTCTACCAAGTCCTATTTTCATCAGCTAACTGCCATCTTTCCCCATCTTTTGCCTCCTCACCTGCACCTGCTCATCGCCGCCTTACCACTGCTGCAGCCATAGCAGCAGCAGCAGCAAAATAAGGAGCAGCAGACTCAGCAGCAGCAGTAGCAGCAGCAGCAGCACCATAAGGAGCAGCAGACTCAGCAGCAGCAGTAGCAGCAGCAGCAGCAGCAGCAGCAGCAGCAGCTGAAGGAGTAGCAGCAGCAGCAGCAGCAACAGCGGCAGCAGCAGCAGTGGCAGCAGCAGCAGCGGCAGCAGCAGCAACAGCAACAGCAGCAGCAGCAGAAGGAGCAGCAGCAGCAGCAGCGGCAGCAGCAGTATCTACAGCCATCCCCATCCTCCCCTCCTCTTTGAGCCGCCGCGGGTCCACCCGCCGCCGCTCCCTCCCGGCCACCGCGGGTCCACCCGCCGTCGCCTTCCTCCCACTCCGTGTCACCAATGGCATCCTTTCCCCCTCCCGTCGACGTCTCGACCCTCGATCATCTCGTGCGCGCTGCCGACAACTCAGCAACCAATTGGTATTCCTTCGTCGGCAGCCTCCACCGCGTCCTCGGCAGTGCTTATGTCCTGCCGTTCCGCCTCCTGGACATCATGCTTGGTCTCCCAGAGGGTGACCTTGGGGACCCGCCGCCTCACCCTGGCGATCCCCCCCCTCTCATTCCCCATCCCGGCGAGGAACCTTCGCCCCCCATAGTACCCGTTGGCACCAGCACTCGCGCTGCCACCGCTGAAGTTGAGCAGCTCTTCCTTACTCAGCGTCGTGAGTTCCTCGTGCTCCATACTGATTACCTGATCGCGTTGGAGGAACACGAGCGGTCGGCAACCCTCCGCACCCAGCATGCCGCTACCGCCGCCGCTTATTCCGCTGACTCTGCGCGATTTGCTGAGCGTCGTCGCGCCTGGCTCGAGGCGGACAGCCGTGCTACTGGTGCCCTTCTCCTTGCCATCCCGTCTGCGCTCATGCGCAACTTCCAGGCACGTCGCATCGGCTCCCGCCAGATCTGGCTCGAGCTTGAGGCAATGTTCGAACGCACCGACTTCGATGCTGTCGGACCGCTCTTCAAGGAATACTTCAGCATCACGATCGAACATAGTGCTGGCGCTGTTGACTACACCAGCCGTCTCCTGGACCTTGCCTCCCGCCTTGAGGCTCGCCAGACTACTCTCCCCCCCAACCTTCAGATCTACCGTCTCCTCGAAGGCCTCTCCCCTCAATATGAAGTGCGCGTCATCGCCTTCACTGAGGCTCAGCCCCGCGCCTCCCTTGACACTGTGGTCCAATGGATCATTGACGCTGAGGCCCGCCTTCTCTCAACCCCCCCCTCCGGCCTGAACTCCACCGCGTCCCAAAACCCCCAGCTTGCAGTCACACAGCCGCGTCGTGGCGGGCGCCCACGTGGCGGCCGCACCAACCCTCAGGGAGGGGGTGGAGGTGGCGGTTGTGGGGGCAGCGGAGCCGGCGGCGGTGGTGGCGGGGTCGAGGGTGGCAGCAGTGGTGGTGGTGGAGGCAGTGGTGGATCATCTGGTAGCCGTGGTGGCCGCCCTGGCACTCTTCCCCCATGTTCCTATCTTCGCCGTTTTGGTCCCAGGGCGGGTGAGCGCTGCACCCAAACCAACCATCCCCCCGCAACCTGCTTCAAGGCGTATGATGACGCCTGGTTCGAGCGCGGCAACACTGGCACCCCCCCACGCTGGTCTGCCATGGATCCCCGCCCCTCTCTCCAGGATGTCAAAACTCTTCCGTCTTTCCTCCCCTCTCATCTTCAGCTCTCCTCCTCCTCCTCCTCTGTCGCTGACCCCATAACTCCCCAGGAGCTGCAGCAGTTTCGCCGCTTCCAGCAGCTGCAGCTGCTGCAGCAGCAGCAGCAGTGGGGCTCTGGTGGTCAGGCTGCAGCCGCAGCTGCAGGAGCCGCAGCCGCAGCATCTGCATGGCAGCAGCAGCAGCTTGGCTTTGGCACCGCCGCCATGGCTGCCACAGCCACACCAGGTCCTCCTGGCTTTCCCCTCTGGGGCTCTCCTTCCCCTAGTGCTCCCGCCTCCCACTCCAGCTTTCTAGGCGAGCTCATGCGTTCTTCCCCTGCTTCCACTTCCATGTATCCCTCTGTTTTTAATGCCAGTGATTTCCAGTACCCCGTGTCTTCAGCTCCCTCCTCGCTCACGATTGACTTTGTTCTCGATAGTGGTGCCACTGAAACTGCCCTCAAAGACGCCGGCACCCTCACCTCCCTCCCTTTCCCCACCAACGTTCATGGTGCTGATTCCAGCTTCTCCATCCCTTGCACCCATCTCTCCACCCTCCCCTGCCCCCCCTTCCCCTCTGGAGTGGTCACTGGTCTCCACATTCCCTCCCTTCGTCATAACCTGCTCTCCATTCGTGAACTCCAACAGGCTGGCATCACTACCCTCTTCCCCGCCTCTGCCACCTACTGTGACCTCCTCCACGGCCCCACTCGCCGCCTCCTTCATCGCCTCCCACTTTGCCCTCGCTCTCGTCAGTACATCCTCCGCACACCCCGCCCCTCCTCATGCCACGTGACCACTCGTGCAGGCACCTCCACTCTCCCCCCTCCCCTCCCTCTAGAGCCACCTTCCTCAACCTCCACCTCCTCTCCATGCTCTTGTCGCGCACTGTCCCACCCCGCTGTTCTCATCCACCACCGCCTTGGTCATATGAACTTTCCCACACTTCGTAAAGCCATCTCCTCCCGCTTGCTTGACAGTCTCCCCCCCACTCTTCCTCCCCTCCCGTCCTCTTCCGCTCCCCCATGCGCCACATGCATTCATGGAAAGCTCAAACAACAGCCTTACCTCAGTCATCCTTCCTTTGCTGCTGCCCCCCTTGACCTCGTCCACATGGACCTCTGGGGCCCTAACCCTTCCCCTTCCCGCCAAGGGCACCGGTACCTGCTTGTCCTAGTCGACGACCACAGCAGGTACTCCTCGGTGTTCCTCCTCCACACGAAGGCCGAGGCCCCTGCTGTCATCGTTACCTGGGCCGAGCAGTGCCGAGTCCACTTTGGTCGCCCCATCCGCCGCCTCCATTCCGACGGCGGTGGTGAGTTTCTCAACCGCACCCTCTCCTCCTACTGCTCAACCCATGGCATCCAGCAGACTCATACCCTTCCCCACTCCCCTCAGCAGAACGGTGTTGCTGAGAGTCGCATTCGTGAGATCACCAAGACGGCCCGCTGCCTCCTCACTCATGCCTCCACGCCCCCTTCTCTTTGGGGCTATGCCCTTGTCCATGCTGCTCTCCTTACTAATCTTTACCCACATCCTCAACGCCAGTCTGTCACTCCCACTGAGCTCTGGGCGAGCACCAAGCCAGATGCTGCCATTCTCCGTATCTGGGGTTGCAAGGCATATGTCCTCATCCCCCCACCTGACCGCTCTCGGCAGGCAGGAAAGCTCGCCTCCAAGGCCATTGAGTGTGTCTACCTTGGCCACGCTCGCTCTGCCCCTGGTTACCTCTTCCTTCACCCGTCCTCAGGCCGCCTCCTACAGAGCCGTGACGTGGTGTTCGATGAGAGCATCCCGTTCTATCATTCTGTTCCGCCTTCCGACCCCCTTCCTCCTCTCTCCCGCCCCCTCACCTGGGCTGATGCTGTCATTCCCCCACTCCTTCCCCAGGCTCCCCTCCTTCCTCCAAATCCTGCTCCTCCCCCTCCTCCTTCCTCAGGTGACATTTACGACCCAGCTGTCCCTGACTCCCCTGCTCACTCTGCCTCATCGCACCAGCAGCAGCAGCAGCAACAGCAGCAGCAGCAGCAGCAGCAGCAGCAGCAGCAGCAGCAGCAGCAGCAGCAGCAGCAGCAGCAGCAGCAGCAGCAGCAGCAGCAGCAGCAGCAGCAGCAGCAGCAGCAGCAGGAGCAGCAGCAGCAGCAGCAACAGCAGCAGCAGCAGGTGCAGCAGCAGCAGCGGATGGAGCAGCAGCAGCAGCAGCAGCAGCAGCAGCAGCAGGAGGTGCAGCAGCGGATGGAGCAGCAGCAGCAGCAGCAGCAGCAACCGCAGGCAGTGCAGCAACAGCAGCCGCAGCAGGAGGTGCAGCAGCAGCACCAGCAGCAGCCACAGCAGCAGCAGCAGCACCAGCAGCAGCCACTGCAGCAACCTCATCGGCATCGCCGCACCACCTCTCCGTTCATCCTCCCACGCATCCACACTCGCTCTCACGGCCCACTCATAGGCCATCCATGGGGTTGGCCAACACCACCCCCACCCTCCCTTCCCTTCATTGAGGACTCCCATGAGGAGCTCATTGGCGTTCAGCAACAAACACCTTCCCTCACGCCTCTCTACCCGGGCTTCCTTGGCCTCCTCATCCTTGGCATCGCTACCGCTCCCACCAGATTCTCTCCGTCCAACTTCCTTGAGGCCATCACCTGCCCCGATGCTGCCAAGTGGATCCAGGCTATCTTTGCTGAATGCGAGGCCTTCATCTGCAATGCCTCATTCATTGACGTTGTCCCCTCTCCTGACGACGTCATTGTTGAAGGCCTGTGGGTGTTCCGAGTGAAGCAGCTGCCGGGTGAGGAGCCGGTCTACAAGGCCCGGTATTGTGCCAAGGGCTTCACCCAGACCCATGGCATCGACTACTGGGAGACATTCTCTCCCACTGCCAAGCTCCCAACTCTCCGTGCCATCCTCGACTATGCTGTTCGCATTGGCATGGAGATTGCCTCCATGGATGTCTCCAACGCCTTCCTGCAAGGCGAGCTCCAGGAGCGGGTCCTCTTGCGGCGGCCTCCAGGCTTTCATGCAGCCTTCCCTGCCAACACAGTCTGGGAGCTGCGCCGCCCGGTTTATGGCCTCAAGCAGGCTCCTCGCGAGTGGCACAACAAGCTGGCCGCCACTCTGCAGTCCTTGGGGTTCCATGCCTCTCAGTCTGATGCCAGCCTTTTCCTTCGCTCCTCTCCCACCCGCTTCTTCATCCTGGTGTATGTCGACGACATGATCCTGTTCGCTGACGATGCTGCCGCCATGCAGCAAGTGAAGGACGCCCTGCATGCGCGCCTCAAGTGCAAGGACCTGGGTGAGCTCAAGCACTATCTGGGCATGACCATCACCCGGGACCGCACATCGCGCACCATTACCCTCTCTCAGTCCTTCTACATCGACCAAGTCTTGCAGCGGTTCGACATGGCGCAGGCCAAGCCGGTTACCACTCCCCTGCAGACCGACCACCAGCTTGCCCCTCCTCCTGCTCCCTCCTCCTCTGACCATCCTTACGCTGAGCTCGTCGGCTCGCTGATGTACGCTATGATGTGCACCCGCCCCGACCTTGCCTACCCCATCAGTGTTCTTGCTCGATTCGTCGGTACCGGTCGCCACACTGATGAGCACTGGGCTGCAGCGAAGCGGGTCCTCCGCTACCTCCGGGGTACCAAGGACTATGTCCTCACCCTCGGAGGCTCTTCTCCTCCCCTCCTCTCTGGCTTCAGTGACTCCTCCTGGGCTGACTCCCAGCCGGATCGCCGTTCCTCTCAAGGCTACGGCTTCACCCTTGGCAGCGGCCTCATCAGCTGGCGCTCCACTCGCTCCTCCTCCATTGCCCTCTCATCCTGCGAGGCTGAGCTCTATGCTTGCACCATGGCCGCTCAGGAGGCTCGCTGGCTCACCTTCCTCCTTGCTGAGATCGGTGCTCCTCAGCGCTGTCCCACCCTCTGGTGCGACAACGCCAGCACCATCCATCTCACAAAGGACCCTGTCTTCCATGGCCGCTCCAAGCACATTGAACTCCGCTACTTCTTCGTTCGAGAGTTGGTCCAGCAAGGTCACTTGGTGGTCCGCAAGATCGCTGCAGAGGCCAACTTGGCCGACATCTTCACCAAGGCCCTCCCGAAGACCGCGCACTCTGCCCTCCTCCGCCTTCTCGGCCTTGGGCCCCGCCCCCCTTCCTGATTCTGGGGTTGTACCCTACATATACACTAGCTTTGCATGCTATGGGGTTGTGTTAGAATATACCATGCTATGCTAGTTGTGTATATTGTGTTTACATCCCTAGTTGGGTGTACACCTGTGTTGGGGTGTCAATCCAACCCAATTGTGGTTGGAGCCCCCAAACACAAGGACCACAATTGTGGGGGCACCACAAGTGGGTTGGCTAAACCACTGGTGGTACACCACACTTGGACCACCTCCAACTGGTGGTCAACCACATTTGGAAGGAGCCTCCCTCCCTTGTGATTGGTCCTAACCCCCCCTTCCCTTCCAACCTTCCCTTCCTAGCTCTCTCTCTTCCTATGTAATGCCTTTCCTTCATCAATAAACTGAACCTTTCTGTTTCTAACAGAACGGTCACCAAAGCGGCTGCTGCGATGATGGATGGAGCTTGAAGAAGAGCGGCATCTTCAGGAGGTTTTGCTGCCTTGAAGCGTAAAACGAATACGCCATTTTTTGTTGCTGCTCTTCCGATGTACGTGTTGTCCACATCATGTATTAACTCTTGCTCTTGTGTCGTGCAGTTTCCGACCGTGGGGATTTTCTTCTTCAAGAGTTGAAGAGTTGACACTAAATTGAAGCCGAGGTTGTCGACGAGTAAAACGTTGGTAAGGTGTAAAGAGTTTCCTGTATCGATTGATGTCAAAAGTAGACTGCCGATATTTTCTGCTGCAATCGTTTGATCGTTGGCGAGTGTGATTTTGCAAGGTTGAAGAAGTCGACGACGATTGTAGATGAAAGGATTTGTTGATGAGACCATGTGATGGCCACAACAACTATCCAAGTACCAAGTATCGGTATCTGTACTGCAATGACCATGTGAGTGGATGAAGTAGGTAAACGAAAATTTGAAGGTACCGTATTAGTGGCTTGGAAGGGCAGAACTGAGTGTCGTTGGTGGTGTTGATATTGGAGATGTTGCTTTTGGAGGCGCATGTTGCTGAAAAGGCTGCTTCGAAGGCTGACGTAGCGGCTGTGATGATTGCGACCTCTCTAATTCTTCAGGAGGTAAATACCTCTTGTTAAAGTAGCATCGGTTGGTAGAATGTCCTCCCTTGTTGCAAATTTGACAGAAGTATCGAGGACGTCAAGTTGGTGTTGAATAGAAACTGAGTTGTTTATCCCCCCTTTTGTTGCGTTGTGACTGTAGGTCAAGGTCTTGTTGTTCCGCTTGAAGATACGACGAAATTTCAGCCTCGGAGAGGTTCGGGTTCATGCGCAGAAAGGCGCGCGTCTGTCGCCATTCGGGCCCAAGGCCAGCAAGAAGGACCGTGAGATACATCTCACGAGGGAAGTATCCCCCACTTTTCTCCAGTTGATCTCGTAGTGTACGGACGCGATTGACGTAATCCATGACGTTCTCGTTTGTCATCATCTACACACTTGTCAGCTGCGAAAGTATTTTACTCAGTGTTATTGTATCTTTGCCATGTATACCCCCTTCAGATGGTTCCAAGTAGTTTCGGCTGGTGTAAAGCTTGAGTGAAATGATCGGACGCCAAGCTGCTCCTTCGGCGACAGGTTCTGAACGAGAACTGTATAAGCCCCGAGAGAGGCGTGCAAAAAACTCTGCTGCTCCAGTTGTGTTCCCACGACAGGAAACGTGTACTCATCGGTGAAGAACGGCCATAATCTAGCGAACTGCGCCAGAAGCTCAAACTCAAAGCTCCAGGAGTAAAAATCCACCCCGTTAAAAGGTATAGTGGTCTTGATTTGTGTGTTGTTCAGTAAATTTGGCGGTTGAAAAATAATGCCCTGTTGTTGAGGTTGTTGCTGTTGTTGCTGTGGCTGTTGCTGCTGCTGTTGTTGTTGCTGTTGCTGAGCAGGGGGACGCCCGAAGATGTAAAAGGGATGCTGCTGCTGCTGTGACTGCGGCTGCTGTACAAAAGGTGAGAAAGCGAACGAACCAGTACTTGGAGTTGTGGCTCCACGCATATAAATTGAGCCATCAAGTCTCATTCCACTGAACGCAGATGAAATTGATTGCGTTGAAACTGGTGGCTGTACTGACGCTTGTTGCTGTGCTGTTGTCTGTGATTGTTGTTGTTGCACTGCAGGTGCAGTCAAAGAAACACCTGGAGTGTTAGCAGAATGCGGATTCTGCTGTTGCATACCGATATGAGCATAGGCTGGTGGAAACGGCCCAGAGGCTGAGAGACTAGTGGCGGTCGTGGAGACATGTACTCCAGTAGTTCCGGAAGTTGATCCGGCAGACGGTGCTGGGGATGAACCAGTCATGGTTGACAATAGTCTTGATTCCAGATAGCTCTCATACCATGAAATAACTTGTCCAATTTTGTAGAAGACTAAGTATAAAACTGCAAACACGAACACTTGGAAATCCTCAAGTGTTGGTCCAGGATCTTTGCTGGAATGGAAGTCTTATCAGAGTGAACCTGAGCACATGAACTTGTCGGTAGTCGAAGGTTGAATAAGCTGAGCACAGAATTCTGTGTAAAGTCAAGGTTTAATAATAGAAAGGCATTACAAGGATTTATAGCTCTAGGAAAGTATTTGTTCGCTAATGTACCTGTTCTTCACTATCGCGCTATGCGACCTAATCGTCATTCTATAGGGTCGCGACTGTTCGCGTGACTGAAACGACTCATTACCCCTATTCGCGTAACTAAAGCGGTATCTGACGTCATCGCGAGACCCGCGATGCTTTGCTGACGTCAGCACTCGGACGTCTCCGGTAAAGAGTGATAAGGCGCACATCAGCGAGCCGACGAGCTCAGCGTAAGGATGGTCAGAGGAGGAGGGAGCAGGAGGAGGGGCAAGCTGGTGGTCGGTCTGCAGGGGAGTGGTAACCGGCTTGGCCTGCGCCATGTCGAACCGCTGCAAGACTTGGTCGATGTAGAAGGACTGAGAGAGGGTAATGGTGCGCGATGTGCGGTCCCGGGTGATGGTCATGCCCAGATAGTGCTTGAGCTCACCCAGGTCCTTGCACTTGAGGCGCGCATGCAGGGCGTCCTTCACTTGCTGCATGGCGGCAGCATCGTCAGCGAACAGGATCATGTCGTCGACATACACCAGGATGAAGAAGCGGGTGGGAGAGGAGCGAAGGAAAAGGCTGGCATCAGACTGAGAGGCATGGAACCCCAAGGACTGCAGAGTGGCGGCCAGCTTGTTGTGCCACTCGCGAGGAGCCTGCTTGAGGCCATAAACCGGGCGGCGCAGCTCCCAGACTGTGTTGGGAGGGAAGGCTGCATGAAAGCCTGGAGGCCGCCGCAAGAGGACCCGCTCCTGGAGCTCGCCTTGCAGGAAGGCGTTGGAGACATCCATGGAGGCAATCTCCATGCCAATGCGAACAGCATAGTCGAGGATGGCACGGAGAGTTGGGAGCTTGGCAGTGGGAGAGAATGTCTCCCAGTAGTCGATGCCATGGGTCTGGGTGAAGCCCTTGGCACAATACCGGGCCTTGTAGACCGGCTCCTCACCCGGCAGCTGCTTCACTCGGAACACCCACAGGCCTTCAACAATGACGTCGTCAGGAGAGGGGACAATGTTAACAAATGAGGCATTGCGGATGAAGGCCTCGCATTCAGCAAAGATAGCCTGGATCCACTTGGCAGCATCGGGGCAGGTGATGGCCTCAAGGAAGTTGGACGGAGTGAATATGGTGGGAGCGGTAGCGATGCCAAGGATGAGGAGGCCAAGGAAGCCCGGGTAGAGAGGCGTGAGGGAAGGTGTTTGTTGCTGAACGCCAATGAGCTCCTCATGGGAGTCCTCAATGAAGGGAAGGGAGGGTGGGGGTGGTGTTGGCCAACCCCATGGATGGCCTATGAGTGGGCCGTGAGAGCGAGTGTGGATGCGTGGGAGGATGAACGGAGAGGTGGTGCGGCGATGCCGATGAGGTTGCTGCAGTGGCTGCTGCTACTGCTGCTGCTGCTGCTGCTGCTGCTGCTGCACCTCCTGCTGCGGCTGCTGTTGCTGCACTGCCTGCGGTTGCTGCTGCTGCTGCTGCTGCTGCTCCATCCGCTGCTGCACCTCCTGCTACTGCTGCTGCTGCTGCTGGTGCTGGTGCGATGAGGCAGAGTGAGCAGGGGAGTCAGGGACAGCTGGGTCGTAAATGTCACCTGAGGAAGGAGAAGGGGGAGGAGCAAGATTTGGAGGAAAGAGGGGAGCCTGGGGAAGGAGTGGGGGAATGACAGCATCAGCCCAGGTGAGGGGGCGGGAGAGAGGAGGAAGGGGGTCGGAAGGCGGAACAGAATGATAGAACGGGATGCTCTCATCGAACACCACGTCACGGTTCTGTAGGAGGCGGCCTGAGGACGGGTGAAGGAAGAGGTAACCAGGGGCAGAGCGAGCGTGGCCAAGGTAGACACACTCAATGGCCTTGGAGGCGAGCTTTCCTGCCTGCCGAGAGCGGTCAGGTGGGGGGATGAGGACATATGCCTTGCAACCCCAGATACGGAGAATGGCAGCATCTGGCTTGGTGCTAGCCCAGAGCTCAGTGGGAGTGACAGACTGGCGTTGAGGATGTGGGTAAAGATTAGTAAGGAGAGCAGCATGGACAAGGGCATAGCCCCAAAGAGAAGGGGGCGTGGAGGCATGAGTGAGGAGGCAGCGGGCCGTCTTGGTGATCTCACGAATGCGACTCTCAGCAACACCGTTCTGCTGAGGGGAGTGGGGAAGGGTATGAGTCTGCTGGATGCCATGGGTTGAGCAGTAGGAGGAGAGGGTGCGGTTGAGAAACTCACCACCGCCGTCGGAATGGAGGCGGCGGATGGGGCGACCAAAGTGGACTCGGCACTGCTCGGCCCAGGTGACGATGAGAGCAGGGGCCTCGGCCTTCGTGTGGAGGAGGAACACCGAGGAGTACCTGCTGTGGTCGTCGACGAGGACAAGCATGTACCGGTGCCCTTGGCGGGAAGGGGAAGGGTTAGGGCCCCAGAGGTCCATGTGGACGAGGTCAAGGGGGGCAGCAGCAAAGGAAGGATGACTGAGGTGAGGCTGTTGTTTGAGCTTTCCATGAATGCATGTGGCGCATGGGGGAGCGGAAGAGGACGGGAGGGGAGGAAGAGTGGGGGGAAGACCGTCAAGCAAGCGGGAGGAGACGGTTTTATGAAGTGTGGGAAAGTTCATATGACCAAGGCGGTGGTGGATGAGAACAGCGGGGTGGGACAGTGCGCGACAAGAGCATGGGGAGGAGGTGGAGTTGGAGGAAGGTGGCTCTAGAGGGAGGGGAGGGGGGAGAGTGGAGGTGCCTGCACGAGTGGTCACGTGGCATGAGGAGGGGCGGGGTGTGCGGAGGATGTACTGACGAGAGCGAGGGCAAAGTGGGAGGCGATGAAGGAGGTGGCGAGTGGGGCCGTGGAGGAGGTCACAGTAGGTGGCAGAGGCGGGGAAGAGGGTAGTGATGCCAGCCTGTTGGAGTTCACGAATGGAGAGCAGGTTATGACGAAGGGAGGGAATGTGGAGACCAGTGACCACTCCAGAGGGGAAGGGGGGGCAGGGGAGGGTGGAGAGATGAGTGCAAGGGATGGAGAAGCTGGAATCAGCACCATGAACGTTGGTGGGGAAAGGGAGGGAGGTGAGGGTGCCGGCGTCTTTGAGGGCAGTTTCAGTGGCACCACTATCGAGAACAAAGTCAATCGTGAGCGAGGAGGGAGCTGGAGACACGGGGTACTGGAAATCACTGGCATTAAAAACAGAGGGATACATGGAAGTGGAAGCAGGGGAAGAACGCATGAGCTCGCCTAGAAAGCTGGAGTGGGAGGCGGGAGCACTAGGGGAAGGAGAGCCCCAGAGGGGAAAGCCAGGAGGACCTGGTGTGGCTGTGGCAGCCATGGCGGCGGTGCCAAAGCCAAGCTGCTGCTGCTGCCATGCAGATGCTGCGGCTGCGGCTCCTGCAGCTGCGGCTGCAGCCTGACCACCAGAGCCCCACTGCTGCTGCTGCTGCAGCTGCTAGTGCAGCTGCAGCTGGTGGAAGCGACGAAACTGGTGCAGCTCCTGGGGAGTTATGGGGTCAGCGACAGAGGAGGAGGAGGAGGAGAGCTGAAGATGAGAGGGGAGGAAAGACGGAAGAGTTTTGACATCCTGGAGAGAGGGGCGGGGATCCATGGCAGACCAGCGTGGGGGTGTGCCAGTGTTGCCGCGCTCGAACCAGGCGTCATCATACGCCTTGAAGCAGGTCGCGGGGGGATGGTTGGTTTGGGTGCAGCGCTCACCCGCCCTGGGACCAAAACGGCGAAGATAGGAACATGGGGGGAGAGTGCCAGGGCGGCCACCACGGCTACCAGATGAGCCACTACTGCCTCCACCACCACCACTGCTGCCACCCTCGACCCCGCAACCACCGCCGCCGGCTCCGCTGCCCCCACAACCGCCACCTCCACCCCCTCCCTGAGGGTTGGTGCGGCCGCCACGTGGGCGCCCGCCACGACGCGGCTGTGTGACTGCAAGCTGGGGGTTTTGGGACTCGGTGGAGTTCAGGCCGGAGGGGGGGGGTTGAGAGAAGGCGGGCCTCAGCGTCAATGATCCATTGGACCACAGTGTCAAGGGAGGCGCGGGGCTGAGCCTCAGTGAAGGCGATGACGCGCACTTCATATTGAGGGGAGAGGCCTTCGAGGAGACGGTAGATCTGAAGGTTGGGGGGGAGAGTAGTCTGGCGAGCCTCAAGGCGGGAGGCAAGGTCCAGGAGACGGCTGGTGTAGTCAACGGCGCCAGCACCAGTAGCACGGCTGTCCGCCTCGAGCCAGGCGCGACGACGCTCAGCAAATCGCGCAGAGTCAGTGGCATAAGCGGCAGCGGTAGCGGCATGCTGGGTGCGGAGGGTTGCCGACCGCTCGTGTTCCTCCAACGCGATCAGGTAATCAGTATGGAGCACGAGGAACTCACGACGCTGAGTAAGGAAGAGCTGCTCAACTTCAGCGGTGGCAGCGCGAGTGCTGGTGCCAACGGGTACCATGGGGGGCGGAGGTTCCTCGCCGGGATGGGGAATGAGAGGGGGGGGATCGCCAGGGTGAGGCGGCGGGTCCCAAGGTCACCCTCTGGGAGACCAAGCATGATGTCCAGGAGGCGGAACGGCAGGACATAAGCACTGCCGAGGACGCGGTGGAGGCTGCCGACGAAGGAATACCAGTTGGTTGCTGAGTTGTCGGCAGCGCGCACGAGATGATCGAGGGTCGAGACGTCGACGGGAGGGGGAAAGGATGCCATTGGTGACACGGAGTGGGAGGAAGGCGACGGCGGGTGGACCCGCGGTGGCCGGGAGGGAGCGGCGGCGGGTGGACCCGCGGCGGCTCAAAGAGGAGGGGAGGATGGGGATGGCTGTAGATACTGCTGCTGCTGCTGCTGCTGCTGCTGCTGCTGCTGCTGCTGCTGCTGCTGCTGCTGCTGCTGCTGCTGCTGCTGCTGCTGCTGCTGCTGCTGCTGCTGCTGCTGCTGCTGCTGCTGCTGCTGCTGCTGCTGTTGCTGTGGCTGCTGCTGCCGCTGCTGCTGCTGCCACTGCTGCTGCTGCCGCTGTTGCTGCTGCTGCTGCTGCCGCTCCTTCAGCTGCTGCTGCTGCTGCTGCTACTGCTGCTGCTGCTGCTGTTGCTGAGTCTGCTGCTCCTTCTTGTGCTGTTGCTGCTTCTGCTGCTGCTGCTACGGCTGCTGCAGTGGTAAGGCAGCGATGAGTAGGTGCAGGTGAGGAGGCAAAAGATGGGGAAAGATGGCAGTTAGCTGATGAAAATAGGACTTGGTAGAAATTTCAGTAGCACTTCGTGATCACATCCAGGAAAGTGTGCAAACTTCGGAAAGCGATATATGACAATCCAAGCAATGAAACAATCCGAAATTTTACGACGTTGTAGCTGACACCAAGAGCGTTCTTTTGCAAGTCGAATCACTCAATTCTGTCAACTATCGAGCGAGCTATGGCGTTTGGCGCATTGGGGGTTTTTGAAAATCCACCCAACAGAAAACTAGTTGAGAGGCGGCGGCTAGGAGTCTAGCAGCGGCGATGGAGGGGACGGCAATGAGGTGCACGTCGGAAGGGGACGGGGCGGAAGCGTGGGGAAGGATCGGGATTTAAAAGTTGGCGTGAACCATTATTGCTCTATACCATGTTAGAAACAGAAAGGTTCAGTTTATTGATGAAGCAAAGGCATTACATAGGAAGAGAGGGATGAGCTAGGAAGGGAAGGTTGGAAGGGAAAGGGGGGTTAGGACCAATCACAAGGGAGGGAGGATCCTTCCAAATGTGGTTGACCACCAGTTGGAGGTGGTCCAAGTGTGGTGTACCACCAGTGGTTTAGCCAACCCACTTGTGGTGCCCCCACAATTGTGGTCCTTGTGTTTGGGGGCTCCAACCACAATTGGGTTGGATTGACACCCCAACACAGGTGTACACCCAACTAGGGATGTAAACACAATATACACAACTAGCATAGCATGGTATATTCTAACACAACGAGTTTCGACTTTACCACGGGAAAGGCGGCCTCTTCATCGGTCGCGCTCTCCTGAAATCAGGCGTCCTCGTGCTGGACTTCGTTCCCGACCGCAGAACTGCCGATAGCGACGGCATCGTGTCATTCGCCGCCTGGACGCATCCGCCAGATCTTGACCCCAATTTCACTCCAGACGGATTCTGGTACTCCAACACCATCCCTGCAGTAGAAAGAACACGAGCATTAGCAGTCATCCGACAAGAATGACAAGTATCAACAAGCGTTCCTCACCAGGGATTACATGCAGTCGCAACAGCAGGACCCAGCCGTGCGCCATCACCAGCAATCTGAGGACCGCCATCCGAAGCAGATCAACTCATGCCCATCACCCGAGGAGAATGTCGCAGTCCCGCCACGGTCGTCGCGTTCTTCTTCAACACCGACATATACCAGCGCTCACCCGGCCATCGCGCTCCGGAGGACATCTGGCATCAACGCCTCGGACATCCTGCAAACAGCACAGTACTACAAACCATACTAGCCGGAGTATTAGATAAGGACGCTCTTCTCACAACGAGCGGCCAGGAGCTTCGACGACCCCGTGCACGGTGCTTCACGTGTCCCGAAGCTGATCTTCCCCACCAACCTTTTCCGTCGCACCACAATCCAAGCGCACCTACGTACGCACCGATGGAAAAGTCTACAATGACATTTTAAATATGCCTCGAGACGACAGTGAAGCAGAGTACAACTATGACGTCACATTCATCGACGCAGCAACACGATACGTCTGGCCCTACAACCTCAAGACACGAGATCAAGCGTTCGAAGCCTTCATGACGTGGCTCCCCATCGCTGAACAAGAAACAGGCTCGCAACTCAAGAGCTTCCAGTCAGACGGAGCACTGGAGTACCAGTCACAACGATTCAAGAACTACTAGGCAGAAAGAGGCATCAGACGCCTGGTGTCCCTGCCCTATGCTCACCAGCAGCAAGGGTCGCAGAAAGGATGAACCGAACCTTGCAGACGACGATGCGGAAGCTGCTCCTGGGGATGAGACTTCCCAACACGCTTTGGCCTGACGCGATGACGCATGCAGTCCACCTGCACAATTTGCTTTCCTCATCATCACTTCCCAACAGCCCATCACCGCACCTGCTGTGGACAGGAAAATAGGGCAGCACAAAATTACTTCGAGTCTTCGGCTGCATAGTGCAGTACAGACCCCACACAGCCCGAGCAGGGCGATTCTCTCAACGAGCATGGTGGGGACTACACCTCAGCATCGCAAAAAAATTTCAAGCCTGGAAGTTTCTCGACATTCAGGACAAAACCTTCGTGGCCTCACGTGATATTATCTTCTACAAGCGACTGACACTGCAACATTACCTGGACAACATCGCCAACAAAGACGACCCCACCGACGGCTTCGAGGGCCATCGGTCCTTCGCCGACCGTGCTGCCGAAGCTGACGCAGCACAAGAAAACGTACCCGGAGCCTCGGAAGCTGCTGGACCACACTCCCTTACTGCTCCGTGCCCGTTCCACTCGACGACAACAATCCTCTCGATAGTAACAACATCGACACCTATTACCACTTTGCTGACCAGGGCTACGCTACACCTCAACCGGTAGCAACAAATGTCTCTGAACGCATCGGACCAAGTTTCTTACCTGATCCTGAAGATGGTGACGAAGCAGCTTATCCCGCGAATGAAAATTCCCCTTGACACACACCCACGGGCCTGCAGATACTTAGACTATGGGTCGCCATCCAGAGCCCGCCGCCGCTGTCACCGCGCGAGCCTACAACCCTGTCGCAGGCTCTGGGGGGGGAACACAAGGCAAAATGGAAGGAAGCAATGGAAAACGAACTCAAGGCCCTGCAAGACCGAAATACGTGGGATCTGGTACCTGCAACAAAAACCAACGGCAAGAATGTGCTCTCAGGGAAATGGGTGTACCGCATCAAGACTAATGCGGATGGCTCCATCGACCGCTTCAAGGCTCGATGGGTCGTACGAGGCTTCAACCAGCGATACGGAACCGACTACACAGAGACTTTTGCCCCAGTCTCTCGACATACCTTCCTGCGCATTCTGCTCGCCGTCGCGGCCACGAAAAGACTACCACTGCGCCAGATCGATGTCGCCAACGCCTTCCTGTACGCACCTGTGGACGCCGAAATCTTCGTCGAGCAACCCCACGGATTCATCGACGATCCCACAAAAGTGTGTCAGCTGGCAAAATCCCTTTACAGAATTAAACAAGCCCTGCGGCTTTGGCAGCAACACCTTCACGACCGCCTCGTCAGGATCGGTTTTCTACAGCTGCCGCATGGTTAAGGCATGTACCGACTACAGAAGGGGGGGGACTTCGTCCTACTCATCGTCTACGTCGATGACCTACTCTACGCTGGCTCAACTACCGATGACACCACCTGGTTCAAAGGGGAGCTGAGGAGAGACCTAACACTCACAGTGTCAGACACCGTGAGTCAGTACCTAGGTCTAAACATCGTCGAAGACGATTCGGCGTTCTACCTACACGCCGGAAAATATGCAGGCGTTGTCGCGAAGAAATTCGGCCTAACACCAGTCGCATTCGGGACTCCCTATCACTACGGGAACAACATCGAAAACTCTGCAAAGCTCCCCGCGAAGCAAATTCAGGAGTATCAACAGAAGCTCAGCTGTTTACAATTCGCAGCAGTAACCTGCCGACCGGATCTGTCCTACAGCGCGAGCCAACTGGCGACACACCTGAAGCAGCCGGAGCAAGAGGATCTCGAGGAGCTAAATCGGGCACTGCTTTACTTCGTCTCTACGGCGATGACCGGACTTACCTACAGCAAAGTAACACCATCGTCCATACAGCTACTCGGCTATGTCAACGCCGACCA